TTTTTTATATGGGATGAAATTATTCTTCTGCATGTGGATATCCAGTTTTCCTAGAACAATTTATTGGACAATTATTATGTGATTTTGGCATTTTTGTCAAAGATCAGTTGTAGACTTATTTCTGGAGTCTATTCTGTTTCACTCATTTGTATGTTTGGTGTGTGTGTGTGTGTGTGTGTGTGTGTGTGTGTGTGTTAATCAGTACCATGCTATTTTTATTACTATAGCCTTGGAGTAGATTTTGAGATTAGATCATGTGGTGCATTCAGCTTTGTTCTTTTTGCTTGAGATTTCTTTAACAACTTTGAGTCTTTCATGCATCCATTTGAAGTTTAGAAATTTTTTTCCTATTTCTGTGAAAAAATATCATTGGACTCTTGATAAGGATTGCATTGAATCTGTAGAATGCTTTTGGTAGTGTGGACATTTTAATTATATTAATTCTTTCAATCCATGAACATGGAATATTTTTCCATTTATTTATGTTTTCAATTTCCTTCATTAATATTTTGTATTTTTCAGTTTATGGTTCTTTTGCCTACTTTCTTAAATTATTCCTAAGCTTTGTTTTGCTGTTGTAAATAATATTTCCTTCATTTGTGTTTTGGACAGTTCATTGTTAGCATGTAGAAATGCTACTGATGAACCCAGGGGCACTTAATCACTAAGCCATGTCCCCAGCCCTTTTTCCATATCTTATTTAGAGACAGGGTCTCGCCGAGTAAATTAGGGCCTCACTGAGTTGCTGAGGCTGACTTTGAACTTGCAAATCCTCCTGCCTCAGCCTCCCAAGCCACTGGGATTATAGTTGTGTGCCACTCCGCCAAGCAATGCTATGATTTTTGTATGTTTATTTAATGTCCTGCAACCTGTTTATGAGTTCTAACAATTTTTTTTTTTGGTGAAGTAATTTTGGTTTTCTATATCTAAAATCATGTGTTCTACAATAGAGACAATCCAACGTCTTCCTTTCCGAGTTGCATGCCTTTTATTTATTTTCTATTGCTAGGATTTCCATCACTATGTTGAACGGAAGTAGGAAGAGTGGGCATCCTTGTTTTATTCCTGATCTTAGAAGAAAACCTTTGATATTTTTTATGACTCTTCTCTTCTCCCCCCCCTTAGTCTAGCTAAAGGTTTGTCAAAATTTTCATCTTTCAAAAGGCTAACTCTTAGTTTTGTTAATTCTTCTATTGTTTTTCTAATCTCTATTTATTTCTATTCTGATCTTTATTATTTCCTTCCTTCTGCTAACTTTGCTCTAAGTTAGTGGACGTTCTTTTTCATGAGTAGCTATTTTCCTGGTTCCTTGAGGTGTAATATTAGATGGCTTACTGAGACTCTTTCTGTGTAGGCATTTAGCGCTTCCCTCTTTGAACTGTTTTTTTTGCTGCATCCCATAATTTTCGGTATTTTGTGTTTTTATTTTTGCCTGTCTGAAAATATCTTTCAACTTTCCTTTTGATTTCTTCTTTGACCTGTTGGTTGTCAAAGACCCAGGGAGCTTTAAAAACTTTACCAGGTATTACTTCCTCTCATCTTCATTCAACTCTACGAAAATAGGAACTCTTGCCATCCCATTTTTACAGATGAGGGAACTGAGGAGTAAACCAGCCCCAGTCACACAGCTCTAACAAGCAAAGCCAGGATTAATTGCCGGAGAGTCTGACTCCAGAGTTCAAGCATTAAGCGATTCTACCCACCACACATCTCGTCACTCCCCCAGCCCCCTGGGGAGGCAGGATCTGTTCTCATCCCATTTCCAGATGAGGAAATCAAGGCTGGGGAGGGGCACACGCCTTGCAAATGACATGCTCAGGCTCAAATCCAATCTGACAGCCTCCCAGGCTCCGCACTGTCCCATCTGAACTATTACTATTCCAGTGCCTCTTTGTTTATGTGTGCATCATCCTAACCTTCTGGAAATTTCTCTTCCTTCCTCTTCTACATTGGTTTTAAAGTCCATCCATTCTGATGCAAGTCCCCAAGGGCTAATGAAAATGTATCTCACCTCAGCTAGATGAGATGTCACCCTCTGAATATCACAGATCATGGGAATCCTACCTGAATGTCTCTGTGGCACTTCCTCTCCACCCGACTCCCCAAGAAGGACCCTGGTGATCTCCTCTTTCCTTGTTCCCTCTCCTTCCACTGACTGGCCTTACTTCCTTTTCTTAGGTCTCACATAGCATGTTGAAGGCTTGAGGCTGGAGCCCAAGGCTGAAACCACCTTGTCTTAGCTTCCCCTCTACCCTGGTCTATCCCCATGCTATCAACATGTGGGTAGACTTCACCCTGTCTGGGGATAGAGAGGCTCTCCAGACACAGCACAACAGGGTAAATAGAGTTGTGCAAGGATGTGGGTAATCAACGTGCACAGAAAGCACCAAGGACAGAGTGGGAGCACTACAGTTCTTCTTGGGGGAATCAGACAAGACAACTTGAGGAGAGGGCATGGAGTGATGTTTGGAGCCTGGGTCGTTTACCTGGCCAGTGGTGCAGGCAGAGGGTCAGTGCAGAGGGAGGTGAGTGGGAGCAAAGGAAATGGCCATAGGTGTGCAGCTTGGTGGGGGAGGGCAGGAGGCAAGGCTGGCCTTGTCAGAGGAAGCCAGATCCTGGGTGCCTTGAATGTTAAGAGCTTGACACTGATCTCATAGTAGAGCAATCCACTGCGTTGGACATCCTAACCAGTTCAGACAGGCTTTGTGGTCATATGTGGCTTTGTGATTTTGGTGACCCCAGAAGTTGTGAAAGAAAAGCAGTGGTTCCACCCTCCTAAGTGATGGCCTAGAGATTCCAGTCCCCTTTATTCCCGTGTGTGGTGGCAGCCCCAAGCAAGTAGATAGCTTAGCAGGGAGCCTGGGATCCTTCCACTCTGGCATGCTGAACCCTGAGTTTCCCAGGATAGGACGGGCATCCACAAAAGCAAGAGACAAAGGCAACACTGGAAGGACTCTGGAATCTGGTTTATTAGTCGAGCGTTGGTTGGATCTCTAGTACCCCTGCCCCTCTCTGGGCTGTTCTCTCCTCACCCCCAACCCCCACCCCCAATTCTGGGGCAGAGCAGGTCGTGCAGCTGGGTGTGGGAATATCAGAGTCTGCCCCTCCAGCAGAAGACAGGGCTTCCCTGCAAAGTTGGGAGAGGGCAGTGAGCACCACCGCCCTAGCATCCAGCACAGGCAGCGAAGGCACAGATCTCACACGTGCTCGGGTCTTCAGCGATGGCCTCTGGACAGGAGAGATGGGGCCTGATGAGAGCCAGCAATCCCTCCCCCATGGGCCCCTGCCTCCCTTCAGCCAGAGCTTGAATAGCAGCCACCCAATCCCCAGGAGAGGCCCAACAAGCCTGGCCTCTCTGACCCACGAAGGGGCTTTCCATCCCAAAAAGGGCATATGGACCACTCAAGCCATCCAATCAGAATGCAGGTTCTACTCAGAGAAGAGATAACACTAGCACCAGATGTTGGGGCACAGTACTACCTACCAACCCATCCGTCTGAACCAGGATCTCCCTAAGTCTCATCAGTTACAACTTGGAACTAACCGTAACGTGAGCTCAACAGACCCACCAATTAGAACAGAGCCCCACCTACCATAGAACATCTCTTCCTCAAGAGCCATCAACAGAGAATCCCCCAGCCCAGCCTTCCCAGAGGAGGTCGCTCACCCAGCCTCTGCAGGATCTCCTCAGCATTGGGCTCCTTGCAAACAGGCTTGATTTCTTCTGGAAACGCTTCATAGCTGCAGATCACAGGAGCCACAGGCTTACCAAGGGTGGGCACAAGCTTCCTGAAGTTCCCAATCTTAGGCTCCGGAAGATCCCAGAGGTCTTTAAGTTTCTTCACTGACTCCAGGGAAAAGGAGAAGTCTCCATCCTGAGCAAGACAGCCAAGGCAGGAGGGCAGGCTTCAGCTCCCTGGTGGGACCCCAACCCTGCAGTTTCAGCTCTAGGGCACACGAGCAATGTGCCTAGGAAACAGATGCTCCAGTGAGCTGGTGTGGGGGTCAGAGCAGGTCCCTGCCCTGCTGGCTTTGCTCTGTGACCCTGGGTACCCGGGGGCCTCAGGTTCTGCAAGCTGTCATGAGTAATGAAGAAAATGGAGGTGGAGGGCCAGGGACACAGTAGGTGCCTGATGAGGACTCTGTGAGCTGGTTTTTAGGGAGAGGTGCAGCAGAGTCTCAGTTCCACACAGCCATGCACAGGCTGCATTCCCCTGCCCGAGAGCCAGCTGCTCGCTGGGCCCCCATCTCCAGCCTGCAGCCTGGTTTTTGTTTAAGAGGCTCCAGGAGTCTCTCATAGTGAGGATCCCCTACTGGGTGCCAGCATTCTTGGCCCTGTCCTGCAACCAACCATCTGGACCTCTGGGGTGTCTTCACAGTTACTGGGATCCAGATGGTTGCTCTAGCTGAGCACAGAGCTGAGGAGTAAAGCCTGGGTTTGAATCTAGCTTTTTCATTTCTCCACTGGACATCTCTTATAGAACCTCTCTGGGGCTCAGCTTCCTTCTCCTGTAAAATGGAGTTAAAAAACCGACTTCTCCCAGGGTGCTGGGGCCTCAGTGAGAAGCTCGGGGAGGTACCGTAACTGGCAGGCATTCCATCACTCACCTTTCCCAGTCTTCTCTCCTACCTGGGTTCTTTCTGCTCCAGATTTGAAGCAAAAGGTGTGTGTGGCTGACAGGACGGAAAAGAGGGTCCCCAAGGAAGTGCAAGCCTCAAAGGCCACCTCCACTCCAGTCCCCAAAGCCGCTGCGCTCTCTCAGGGGCCAGGTAGGGATGGGGCTTACCTGCACGGTGACCCCCCCTGCCAGGGTAGCCCAGGCTCCCAGGAGGCACAGCGCTGAGAGCAGGAAGGTATTCATGACTGCAGTTCTCTCTCAGCCCTAGTTGGAGGAGCAGCTGGTCTGGATGTCGCAGGAAACAGTGGGGCTTTAAAGAGGTCAGGGTTACTGAATAACCCTGAGCTTGTGTCAGTGTCTCATCTGCTGCCTGTCAGGCCTCATCAGATAAGGCTCAAGGCAGCCCTGGGAGATAAGAGATCAACCCCGAGCCTGGCAGAGCCCCGGCCGCTCCCAGGGCACCACTTTGACCCACAGGCAGGCTGGGTCAGGCCCTGTGCTGTGGGGTGGGGCCTGCAGACCAAGCCCTACCCTTCAGGATGGAGGCCCAAACCCAGACAATGACGGCACTCAGGGCCATTAGGGTGGGGGCAACAGGGCTGCTACTGGGGTGGGTGCCAGGGAGGCGCTACCTCACAAGGGGGGTGGCAGGGCAGCTTGGGAGGGTTTCCCAAGGAGGTGGTGTCAGTACTGAGGCCTGGAGAATGGGGCTGGGGTGGGGGTTCTCTGAGATGGGATAGGGTAGAGGATCATTTTGTGCAGAGGGTGTTATGTCTGGGACAAGTGAGAGGTAAGAGAAGCCCAGGATATTGATTAGACCCTTTCTGAGTCTAATTGTCCCAATGTCCTCTGTGGGGACCAATATTAATACCTACCTTATAGACAGGTGTTATGGTTTTGAGGATTAGATGAGGCTTTAAATGCCTGGTACACAGGGAGCACTCCGTAGGGGGGCATTCAGTTACATTGTAATCAGCAGCGGATCCTGGTCTTCACTGCCCCTTTGTGTCACCTGCCTGTCTAAGCCACAGTCTGGCCTCTTCATGTGCTGGTCCCTTGATCCTGCCAGCCCAGCAGCCTCAGAGTGTCCTGGCCTGAAATCCTCCCGATGGGTTTGCAGGCGAGACTGCCTGATGTGTCCTCTGCACCCCCAATCTGATCCCACTGGGACTGACCTCCATCCGCACTGCGTGCTCACTGTGTGATCTTTGGCAAGCGGCCCCAGCACACAGGAGAAAGCATCTCCTTGAGGCTCGCAATCTTGCTACTTCATACCCTAGCTAGTTGCCCTGACAGCTCCAAAAAGGGGGTGGGTAATCCCTGGGCCTGCTGCGTAATCAGCACTGAAGAAGGAGCTGGAAGGAGCAGAGCCCCTGGAGGAGGGAACTACAAAGGGGCCCAGGCCACAGGGAGGGGCAGGAAGCTTTTGATCCACCTCAGACTGGACTTCACTCCCCTTGCTGGTGTGTGTGTCTGTATACACCCAGGTGCATGCATTTACACTAAGGAATGTGTTGTGCATGCCAAGATATATGTGTGTACTCTGAAAGGTGTGTGCGTATGTAGATGTGTGTATCACAGAGGTTATGTTACATTTGGGCATATGCTAGGGTGTGTGCATGTGTATGCTAACGTGTATGTGTGTTTGTATATCAGGGAGTGTGTGTGTGTGTGTGTGTACATTGGGATGTGTATGTGTGCCAAGGTGTACATATCTGTGCATGCTTTGGGGATGTGGGTGTAAGTTTATGTGTCTGTGTTAACATGTATTTCTTCATGTGCTAAAGTATGTGTGTGCCTGCAGAGGTTTCCCACCCCACCGGGTAGAGGTCTGGAAGGAGTTGGGTTGGAGGCGAGGCCAGTGATCCCTCTGGGACTAAAAGGGGTGCTGGAAAGGGATGAGCATCAGGAACACTCAGGCCATGCTGGGATTGCTGGGGGCTGGGTGGACCTGAGTGGGATTAAGGAACATCAGCTTTAGGTGAGGGGTCGGCCCTGGGGCTGTTATAATGGGGTGGACTGTTGTAGCAGTTGGGGATGGGAGTCCATGTTGGGGTTTGAACTGGGATTTGGATTAGGGTCAGGGTTAGACTGGGAACAGGGCAGTGCTAGGCTTAGGTTTGGAATTGGGGGCCCAGTTAGGATTGGCCTGATGAGGAGAATGTTCCTGATGTGGAGGTTGCTGTGAGTGTAGGTTAAGTTGGGACCGAGTTGATTTGCAGTTGAGGTTGGAGGTGTGGCTGGGCTGGGTTTATGATTGGGGTTGGGTCTGATTCCATGTGAGGTTAAAGCTGCCTTAGGATTTGATTTGGCCTTAGGATGGGGTTTGGGGTGGGGCTGCTGCAGGCTGAAGGAGCCCTTTCTCTGACTCTCCTTGGTTCTCCAGTCTCTGTCCCCTCCAAGGCACAGCAGGATTGGGCTAAGGGGAGGAGACTTTTGTTCCTGATGCCTCTTCTTCCCACAGCCCCCTGGCCAGGACTTGCTGGAATAGAGCAGGAATTGAAGGGCTAGGGACTGTGGGAGTGACATTGCTCCTTGGTGGGAAAGAGGAAGTGGCTCCTAGGCCTTGGCCCTTTGGGTCCTGCCCTACCCAGCCCCCTCTGACATCAGCACTGGGAAATAGGAACCAACTGTTCTTTCCTTGCCCCAGTTCCCCTCCCCAGCCCTGTTCCCAGCTGTGAATTTAGGCCCCCTTCCTACTCTCCAGGGGACATAGGATCTCAGCTTGCACTGAGGTTGTTAGAAGATAGATTTTGGGGTCCTCCCAGGACCTCAAGCTTTCTAGACCCCATGCCCACAACCCGAGTCCCCTTGGTTCCCAGCAACCCATACTCTTCATCATTCTTGTGTGGGCAGGAGGTAGATCTGAGGCTGTTTGGGTTCCTTGCATCCCAAGACCACCTCTTCTGGCAAATTCTTGCTCCTCTGTGGTGTTCCAGGCCATGCCATCTCCTGCTTCTCCATGGAACCCCAACAGAAGCTGCTCCAAACCTCTGGGGCTGAAAGCCAGACACCCCTGCTTGGCACTCAGGGTCATCATGATCAGGCTTCTGCTGAGCTCACCATTCAGCCAAGATCCCAAAGGACTCCCTCCCCAGGACGGGACCAGGAAGCAGGGGCCAAACTTGGAGGTCAGAGCTCAGGCTTTGGATCCAGGCAGCGCCACCATTTAAATTCTGTGTGGCTTTCTGGACCTCAGTTTCTGCCTCTGAGAATTAATAGTTCCACTGCAAATTTCAGCTCTTTTAGAGCTTTCCTAATCAACCCCAACCCTGGCCCCAGCAGTGAAGGTTAAGAGCACTTCCCCTCCTCTGTCCTCCACAGCCTCTACATTCTTCCCAGCATGCACCTCATCAGGCCCGTGAGCTGCTGAAAGCAATGCTGGAGTGGAGGGCCCCCCTCATACAGGGCCTGGAGCTCGGTGGGTGCCGCAAGTCTTTATGGAGTCAGGAAGGTGGCAGCCACTGTCTGTCACATTAGCGATGACAGTTAATGCTGATCGGGACTCACTCTGTGCCAAGCTCTGGGCTAAGTGCTTGTCATCTGTGGAAACCAGACCCACCCCCCACCACACTGCAGGAAGCTGCAGGTTTTGCCTACTGTCGGGAAGTCCTGCCCTGGGAGGAGGCCAGTGCCATTCCTTTTGGCCAAAAGGTCAACATTTGTGTTTTAGTGACCTTGTCATGGCTCCTGTGTGCCCATTAGAATTGGGTCCAGTTTGGCTCAATCTTTTGGGGCCCAGCTCCTCTTCCCTCAGCCCAGCAGCCTAAGCTGGTCTTAGCAGAAAGGCCTGGAACAGCCCAGGTGGGGGCCTAGAAACTCCAATCCTGACCTGGGTGTGGTTCACATTTCACAGCCTCACCTTTAAAACTTATAAATGTGTTTTAAAGAGTGTAACAATCTTTGGTTCCTATGGGAACTCAAGGAACCTGAGGTAGACATTACAATGGATATAAACCTACTAACAGTTCAGGGAATACACAAGAAGTAACTATATAACCCCATTTTATAGATGGGTAAGCTGAAGCTCAGCGGCTCAGAGGTTAAATACCATGATTATCCCAAAAGTGCCTATGTGGCTGCAGGGTACTGTTGTATTGCAGAGGGTCACCTGGGCTCTGGAGAGTATAAGTCTAGACACTTATACCTCAACTCAGAGGAAGGTACAATTTAACAGATTCATTGTCAAGTGGGCTTGGTAGCAGATGTGGTCACACAGCTATAAATTCCCAAACAGAATCCAGTTCTCTCAAATTTCAAAGAAAAATCTGAACTTCTACTCAATCCAATACCATACCTCCTATACTGTCTTTCTGGTACCAAACTGGCATCTTTTTGCCCCTTCCGGGGAGGAAAAACAAGAAAGGAGTGGCCATTGAGTCAAACCCTGTGAAGGAGGTCAATGATGTCCACTTAACAGGGAAGGAAGCTAAAGCTCTCAGAAAAAGAGTGCTTAGTGACACACCAAGTGGGTGGCAGTTGGGATTTTAGGCCTGTCAGCCAGAGCCCAAGTCTAGGCTCACACGGAGAGACTTCTCTCCACCCCTCAGGCCCCAGGTGGGTCGGCTTTTTCCCTTGATGATCCAGGGGGGGCATCTGTGGAGTGGACAGAGGGTGTGTCTGCCTGTTTGCACAGCAGTGTCATCCCCTGTGCCTGGCCTGGGTGAGGTGGTGGGGTGCTCCACTCACCATCTGTTCCCACTTGGCAGCTGCCTCCTCCTCCCATCAGCCATCAGCTATGGAGGCAACCTCCCACACTGAAGGCTGCTAGGAAGGAGACACACAGCTGGAGAGCCTCCGTGTGTCCCAGAAGGGATCTCCCAGAGCCTAGTTGATTGGCAGACAGGACATGGACAGGTTCCATGAGACTCTGTGGGGTACATACCAGGGGCCACGAGAGAAGGACAAACTGAGGGCTGCAGGTCCCCTTAGCTCCATCAGAGAATGCTTGCCAGCCAGGATGGGGTCTGAAGCAGGCTTGATCAGTGGAAAAATGTGAACGTAGGAGATGCAGAGGGAAGGAGGCTGGCTTGGGATGAAGCAGTGTGTCTAGAGCAGCCGCCAGAGGGAGGTATAAACACCAGCTCAGAAACAGCACATGGTGCAGGCCTGTAATCCCAGCAACTGAGGCACTTGAGGCAAGAGGATGACAAGTTTAAGACCAGCCTCTGTAACTTAGTAATACCCTGTCACAAAATAAAAATATATAAATAAAAGGGCTAAGGGTGTAGCTCAGTGATAGAGCAGCCCTGAGTTCAATCCCAGTACCCCGAAAAGAAAAGACGAAGACACTACCAGCATTTGCCCCTAACCTGGTGACAGTGGGAAGCCATAAAAGGCAAGATCAGATCATGCCAGAGCTGTGATTTAGAAAGACCACAGTGGCAGTGGCATTGAGAGGACTCTGACAGGGTTGGGAATGTGGCTGAGGCAGTAGCGCGCTCGTCTGGCATGTGTGCGGCCCGGGTTCGATCCTCAGCACCACATACCAACAACGATGTTGTGTCCGCCGAGAACTAAAAAATAAATATTAAAAATTCTCTCTCTCTCTCTCTCCTCTCTCACTCTCTTTTT